ATCTGTGCAGCCTGACGCGTTGCACTTAGGAGCAGTATTGTTTACTGTAATAAAATCCTGTCTTAGGTCAACGTGAAAGATCAAAGTCGAAACAAAAGAATATATATAAAAAGTTCTGCTTTTAGTAATATTTTTCATTAAATAAAAAAATATACATATGATGGAAAACAAATCAAATAAGTTAATTGTCAAATGAACATTTCTTTTTTGTTTCATTTTTTTCTCCTCTCTTTTCTGAATAAAAATATGTTTTTTAAATAAGGTCCTGACATCACTTAAAATCGCTGGTGCAATTTTTACAAACACGCTATACCTTTTCTGCATTGCGCATGCACCGTTTCAAAAGGTTTTATTCATGTTTATAAGAAAACATGTTCAATCGATTATCTAAATCATAAACCCCAAAGTCAGCAATTTTATTTTTTTTGTTTTTATTGCAGAGATTGAAAATTTGATCTGAGTTGAATTCTTCAAAAGCTTTTTTCTCTTTTTATTTCTTATTTTTCAAGGCTAAACATTATTTTTTAAAGCGTCTTTAGTGAATGACGAAAACGATGCTGCTAATGCATAATCAAGGGAGATAACTTCTTATGAAAAACACACAAGAGTTTCTCTCTTTCCCACTTCTAATATATTATCTATTTTATTTTCTCTCACCTGTGTTTCAACGTTTTCGTTTCTTTTTAAAAATGAAAAGTATATTTAGAAAACTAAGTAAAATATAAAAGCGAAAAGAATTTTTTTTTCTCAATCAATAATTCGCGTCATTAAGAAAATTGATATTTCTAATCTCTGTATTTATTGACTTATACTTGCCTTATTTATTTTCATAGACATATGAAATATTATCTGTGGTGAATTTAAACATGGTGAGGTTCCCTGATATAAAGATTTCACATAAGCACACGAATATATATAATGCAATACTTCGTCACGTTCATTAAAGTTTCATATTCTAAAATAAAAAGAAAGATTTGTGAAAGAAAACAGACAAATTATGTCCGTCATATGTTTTAAAAGTTTGTCTTGTACAAGTTTCTTCGTGGTGAATGTATAAAGGAACCGTTTACAGTTTTTGTTAAGTGTTAAGGTTCCCAGATTTCGATGGTTTCACTCATAACCAAGAAAAAAAAAATGAAAAAATTCAAAGTACGTGTCGTAACATGTATCCTTGATATGATTTTGAAATTTGAGTTTGTATTGTTACGTGAGCATAATGTTTGTATCATTTTTTTTTTTTAGTTTGGAGACATACTAATGTCGCGTGATCTTAACGTAGTGTCGAATTTAAATAATATCACGCACACAGGCCGACACAAAATTAACATTCAAAATTAGTTCTAAGATGCACCCGACTTGACAGATTTCAAATTTCATCGAATTTCTTTGCTTCTTCATAATGACTGACACAATCCAAAGCTCGTATATTCTGGGTAGAAACATGAAATTTCTTGTCCCAGTGTCTTTAACAAAAGCCGTACCGTTCCTGTTTTTTCGCCAGTGTAATTCTGCTGCGCCTTCTATTTATCAGAATTCGATATGATATGTCGCTCAATAGACTGATTGATCGTTGGAGTTCGTATTCTTTTGAATCTGGCTTCTTAGGCAGGGCTATGAAAATGACCCTACTTAGGTCTTCCGGTATATCACCACTGTTGTAAATTTAATTTATCTTGTCTTTAATTTTTTCAATGCAGAAAGTCATGTAAAGCTGCCTGCCTCTCTATTAAAATTCCGTCTAGTCGTATACTTTTCTTGCTGTTCAATTTCTCCGATGCATTTTTTTTTTCATTTATGAAGTATTTTTCTTTCTCTAACATCAGTGTCGTGCCCTTAGATTGTATGTATCCTGTTGATGAAAATGTCTTTTGTCCTGTTAGTTCCCTTTTTCTTCTATACATATCTACTTTATTTTTAATGCTCATGCTTCATATTTCTGCAGACTTTTCGTTGAGATATTCCTCTTTTCCTGTCGGCACTTGATCCTAATTTCTGTGTGCAATATCCCATATTCTGTATTATATGTTTGGCATTGTTTTCTGTCTTCTTTACATCATGCCAAGAATTTCATCTCTTAGCCATTTCTTTTAGACTTTTTCTTTGCGATGATCTCATTTGCTGGTGTTATTAAAACTATTTTTAATGTATCCCACTTCAAATTTCCATTGTCATTTGGTTCACTGTATCTGCTTTTAAACGCTGTCCATATACTTCTTCAAATACGGGTCATTCGGTAGGCTGTCATGTGAGTGCTGATTTGACCATCTTCAGTTTCTGTAGTTTCACGTATTACTTGGTGGTCGCTCAAGCAGTCGGCACTTGGGTATGATTTACAGTCTAAAACTGCATACTGACAGAAAATTTCCTTCTAAGAAAATAGTGACAGCCTTGACTATATAGTGTTCATCCATTACTTTTACTATGCAATGATTAATCATAAAAATGACTTCCGAAGAAGTGTTTCTCCCGAATTTAAAACTATACTACTTCATGCAGACAATCGAAAATATAAAATCTCCTTTACAGACATTTACGAGAATTGTTGATTCCAAATATTTCTTTTCTGGCCCTGGTTTTTGTGCTTTCATTTTTTTTTTTTTTTTTTCGTTGTTTTCATTTGTTTTAATTTTTCTTATTCCTTGTTTATTCATTTATTTATTCTCTTACTTTTCTTTTCTTTTCATTTTAATTTCTCTTTGTGATTATTTGTTTTATTCATTTTTTTTTTCGATTCATGGTTATTTTTCCTCCTTTTTTCTTTGGTGGCAATAATCGTTGCATTTAAATTTGCTTCATTTCAACCTTCTTTTGCAAGTCCTTTCTTTATTGTTTGTCTTTAAAAACATTCTACATAAAAAAGAAATATATTCTTTTCATCAGCTTTCTTGTAGAACAACACTGAAAACTTAAAGGGAAGCGAATAGTAGTTTTAGAAATAAAAATGAATGTCTTACGATATAACAAGCGGGTAATATTTTAAAGGTGTGTATCTAACATTTTTCTTTCTCCAAATCTATTTTGAATATTCCAAAAATGAAAAATTATAATAGTGTAATGATATAGAGAGTGTATATCTTGCGAGAATATTCCAATGTTATTTTGTCCTTTCTAGAGGAAAAGAAAAGTATTTTTCGACAAGAAATCGAAACTGGATAACTTTGTGTGAAATTCGACTAACTTAAGCAAAAAAGTAAATATTTAATTCTAAACTTTTTCAACTGGTTGCCTAATAATGAAAAGAAAGGCATTTATTTTGCACAACAAATATTTAGTTTTTCAACATAATTTCTTAATTAACCAATACACTAAACAGTATAGTTTATATTAATTATATATATATCTAATTCAGTTTAACAATTTTATGTAAGCCAAACGAATTATTGATCAACACAGAGAAACACATAGATAGATAGATAGATAGATAGATAGATCATTACTCGAGTTTGACGCTACTGCGATCGTCAGGCGGCCACTCATTCGTGAAGCAGAGAAAAGTACTTGCTGAGTATTGGTAATTTAAAGTGATCACTGTACATTACGATATAGGCAGGTGTCCGCTTTTTAGTCTTTTCTTCTAGTTTATGTTTTGGACTCTGTCTATATTTCTGAGATGAGGTATTATGTACATTATTTACATTATTCGGACTAATATCCTCATCTTTGTCGCCATATTTATCACAACGTTTCCGCCGTTGTACGCTCCGGCCTTCTTCAGGTGGTTGGGATTTCGAACTGAACCCTTTATTTCGCTCACTGAGGTAGACTATCCTCGAGGACAAATGGCACAGTGGATAAAGGCGTTGGTTAGATCCAGTGACAGGACCCAAAGAGTGTGAGTTCAATACCCGGCTAAGACAATGGAGAATTTTCAGAGGGAAATTAGCAGGAGATAACTGATATCTGACATCCATCAAAAATATGGCACGTGGAACTAGAGCGGTCTACCCCAGTGAGCGAAATAAAGGGTTCAGTTCGAAATTCCAACCACCTGAAGAAGGCCGGGGCATACAACGGCCGAATCGTTGTGATAAATATGGCGACAAAGATGAGGACATTAGTCCGAATAATGTAAATAAAGTTTATGTTTTCTTTTCCTTTTTTTTCTAAAGGTTCTTCCTTTGGTTTTGTTTTATTGGCTGTTGCATTTTCTTTTTATTACATTTTTCTTTGGTTACCTGCCAGGATTTATTTGGATTTTACCAATATATATATATATATATATATATATATATATATATATATATATATATAATAAGTTGTGTTAATGTTTTTTCTGAAAGTATTTATTTATTTATATATATATTTTCATACTTTCATAAAAAAACATCATTATTTTTTTATTTGCAACTTTTCTATATATACATATTAAGAAAGTATACGTGGCTTCTCATTATGCTATATATATATATATATATATATATATATATATATATATATATATATATATATATATATATATATATATATTGTAGGTAGATAGATAGATAGATAGATAGATAGATAGATAGACATGAAATTTTGAATCAAGTTCATGATGCATTGCTTCTGCACTGCTAGGCCCCTTGCAACTAATTTTCTTCCATTAATTTGTTAATCAACCTCTTTTTAATAATTATTTTAAGTTTGTTGTAGATCGTGTTGAAGGGATAGTTTAAAGCACGTTACAAAAGAAATATCAGCAACAACTTTTAAGGTTTTACAGCGTCCTCCGCGACGCCTTCTTCTTTTTGCCGCTGTTGTTGCTTCAAAGGAGCACCAGGCGCCGACTCTAAAATGTTTTCATTATTCCAAGCAGGATATTTGATGATGTAATCTTTTTCATTGATTTCTGTTTTCGAAAAAGTTTAACGCAAAAATGTATCCTTTTTTTTTTTCCTTATTTTTTGTGGTCCTATTTTTCTTCTTTTTTTAAATTTTTTTTTCAAAATCCATTTCCCCGCCTTTTTAGATTTTTTTTTTTCGCTTTCATAACGCTATTTGCTCTTTTCCACCATTTCTAGTACTTTAATCAATCTTTCTTTCTCCCCATTCTCTCCTCTCTCACCCCCTCTCTCTCTATCTCTCTCTCTCTCTCTCTCTCTCTCTCTCTCTCTTTCACTTATTTCTTACATTTCCTTTCACGTTTTTCTTACTCTCTTCAATTATAACTTTAATTTTTCTATGTGTTTTCTCTGTCTTCCTTTCTTTCTTTTTTAAAGTCTCAATTTTCTTTATCTTTATTTCTTAATCTACTTCAGTTCTCGCATTGTATTTATAATTTCTTTCTATCTTTACGTTCTCCTGTCTTTCTTTTTGCGTTTTCGTTTCCATTTCTTTCTTTTTATCTTTCTTTTTTTATTGTTTTTGTTCCTTTCTTTTTTCCTCTCTATCTTTTTCGTTTTTACCCTTTCGTTTTTCCTTCTCTCATTTTTCTCTTTCATATTTCGCTTTCATTTTGTTTTATGCTTTATCTTTGCTTTTCCTCTTTTTAGTTGCTTTTCCTTACACTATCCTTTTCATTATTTAATTTTCCTTTATTCCTCTTTCTTTTCTTTACTCTTTCTTTCGATTTTCTTTTCTCAATTGCTTTTCCTTTTTTTGCACCCCCTTTCATTTCATAGACGTTGCTTGTTCTTTCGTATTACCTCTACCTATTCTCTTACAACATCATCTATTTTCTTTTGTCTTTCATCCTTTCTTTTCTGATTTTAATTTGCATTTTAGTATTTAAATTTTTTTCAATTTTTCTTATTCATATTCCATTTCTCCTTCAAACTTTTTACCATATTTCGATTTTCCCTTTTTTTTTCTTTTTCTTTCTTTTTCTTTCTTTCTTTCTTTTTCTTTTTTTCTTTCTTTATTTCTATTTTATTTTTCTCTGTTTTTTTAATTTTTTCGCTTTAATTTTCCCCTCTTCTTTTTAACCTTTTATATTTCGTTCTTTCCTTTTGTTACCCTATTCTTTTTTCCTATTTTCAATTGCCTTTTTTTTACTTTTCTTATTCCTCTTTTTCTTTTTCTTTTGTTTCCCTATTTCCTTTATTTATTCCTTCAACTTCATTCTTTTCTTTTTTTTTCTATACTTTTGTTTTAATTTGTAGTTTCTATTTATATATTTATTTATTTATTTTTCATATTTCATTTTTTTATTATTTTCATATATTTACTATACTTTTATACTTTAATTTGTAGTTTCTTATTCACCAGATTTTATCTTTCCCTTTTCCTCTCTTTCATATTTCTTTCTTTTATCCCCTCTTGCTTTTTTTCCTCCTTTTTTTTTCTATCATTTTCCATATATTTTTATTTCCTTCTTTCTTTCTTTCTTTCTTTCTTTCTTTCTTTCTTTTTCTTTCTTTCTTTTTTCTTTTTTATCTTTCTTTCTTTTCTTGTTTTTTTTTTTGCTCGTCTTTCTTTTTTTCTTTCCTTGCTTTTTCTTCCTGTTCTTTTTCTTTCTTTCTTTCTTTCGTCTCTTCTTTCTTTCTTTATGCTTGTCTTTCCTAGTATATTTTTGTTTCTAGCTTCTTTCCTCTTTCTTTCTTTTTCTTTTTTTTTCTTTTTTCTTTCTTTTTTTTTTCTTTCTTTCTTTCTTTGCTTTCTTTCTTTTCTTTCTTTCTTTTTCTTTCTTTCTTTTTTTCTTTCTTTCTTTCTTTGCTCGTCTGACACTTTCTTCCTTGCTTTTATCCTGTTCTTGCTTTCTTTCGTCTCTTCTTTCTTTCTATGCTTGTCTCCTAGTATATTTTTGTTTCTAGCTTCTTTCCTCTTTCTTTCTTTCTTTCTTTCTTTCTTTCTTTCTTTTCATTTGATTATTTAGACTTGTTTGCCTATTCCTTCATATATTTAATATACTTTCTTTTCCACACTCACTGTTTTCTATTCTCCTCATTCTTTTTATCTTTCTTTATGTTTTCCTCTTCAACCCTTTCTTCTCTAATTGGCTCCTATAATTATCCCCCCCCTTTTCTCCCATTTATCTTTTCCTTCTCCGTTCCTGATGTTTTTACTGCCTTACTCGAATTATTAGATGTTCCTCAATTACTCAGATTTATTTAATTAAAACATCCTTCTCTATTCCTTCTTTATTTTACCTTTTGTTTGCTTTCAACTAGCTACTCTAAATTTGTTGAAACTATTTTCGCCTTTTTCTCTTTGAAAATTCCTAACGTAACAATCGGGGAGCCGCTGATACACGCCACCATTTTGCTAACCATCCGTTGCAGAATGAACGTAAACTTCCATCTATAATAATCACATCTTTTTCTTGTTGTTTATCGCTATAGAGACAAATTGATCGTCTACATTTATAATGAATAAATACATAAAATGAAAGCCAATAATTCGAATCCAATGTCGATAATGGCATAAAAAGACAAATCCATAAGTGTTTTTGTAATTTAATTGCATTCATTTATATTCTGGGAAATACATAGGATGACTTAAGTATTTATCTCTTCTCACTCTCTGCCTTTGTAAAATATTTTTTTTATATTTAGATATAAATTATCTTTTACTCAACAAATAAAATATAGAGATCTAAGCACAATTTCATAGGGTTATATTAAAATAAAGACCAAATTTGTTGCTTTCCCTGTCTGTTTACTAACTTTATTACTTTTCATGAGTTAAACAGCATAATGTATTGTCTATGTTGTTATAATGCAATAAACTAACATTTTACCAATATATTATGCAATAACAATAGTAGTGGAAATTCATCGAAGGAAGTTCGGTTTAACGGCACGGAAGGTGAAATCGGCGAATTCAAATCCGGGTTAGTTTGCGTCATTTACATTCTCACTAGTGCCGTTAGAAAAGGTTGGATCCATTTCTTGTCACCCTTGTTACAGATTAAATAGAAAAGTAGACAGGAGTCGCTAGCTTTGGTTGGCAGCCAATCTAAGAGAACTCCGAAACCAAAACCGTTAAGAAAACATAAATGAAACACTACATCATTTTTGCAATTTTGATTTTCCAAGGGTAGCTTAGATGTGGCACAATGCCGAAAGCAGAGGGCACCCAGTGAGGATCGAATTCACTACTCAGTCGTAATTGTCCTAGCAAGAAAAGGTTGCTAAGTATTACACCATGCCCAGGTGCCCTTTTTGCAATTTTGATATGGACATGTAGCAACTTACTCAAAGACTGCAAAAATCAATAAGTAAACAAACTGTGTCTATTTAATAAAATAAACATTATTTAAATAAATTCTTTCTGCCTAAATATGCATTATGAAGTTTTAATAGCGAATTCTTTTTACGAAAACAAAGCATTTCACAAATGACAAAATAAAAAAAAAATATGTTGAAAGCCATGTTTGCATCCTCCATTAAGGTTTATGAAAACCAAGAGAAGGAATAACAGAAACAAACAATAATTTTTTTTTTAGCGTTTCACCCCAACAAGGCGAGAAGCCACTAGGACGCAAGGGGTTACAGAAAATTTGGAGCAAGATCAGATAGGAGTGATAGAGGAAAAGATGAGGAGAAGGATAGTGGATAGATCAAGGCAGCTGGAGATGTCGATCGACATTACATTTGAATAGCTGGAGATTATTGCTATCAGGGAAACTGGAATAAGGAAGAGAGTTCCACAGGCGAGAGGTGCGAGACATGAAGCTATTGGAGTAGAAGAGACGGCTACATTTAGGAGTTTCGATAGTGAAAGGATGAGAGCCGGATGCCAGCCTCGTAGGGCGCTTGAACTCATGAAGTCTGGGAACCAGTGAATGCAGCTCCTCGGAGCAATTGCCATGAAAGTATTTGTAAAAAAAGACAGAGAGAGGCGACGGCGCGTCTGTGAGAGAGTGACTGTAGACGAGATGCCAGAACAGGGCCAAAAAGGATTTATTCAACTTTATCAGGATTAAAAGAAGATTAGAAAACAAGAGGTTGACTTATAAATATTTTATCAGTTCTTATGTATATCAATTTTCTTAAATTCACTAAATATTCAGCAAGTAAATTACCATTAAAATTCAAAATTTTCTCATCAAAACGGAATAGAACTGGAGTGCTTCATGATGCTTCTTTATTCCTTTTAAGTTGGCATAACTGTTTTCGTGGGATACCCCCAACCAAGATCCTTAAAAATGGCAAAGAGATTATGCGAAATCGCTCGGAATGAGCAATGACCTAGAAGAAAATCACTTAGTCCACAAAATCACTAAGTCCAATATATTTTTATTTCTGTACACACGTGTATATGTATGTATGTATGTATATGTATGTATATGCATGTATGTATGTAGGCATATATATATAGACACGAGTTAACGGTTTTCTGTAGGCATCATCAGATTTTTGGTTTGAATTATTAGATAATTTATATAACTTGTTTAACAAATAGTCTAATCATCAGATTCATAGTAGGAATAATGAACTACAAACATGCATACAACATCACATCCTTCATAATCCATAGCCCAAATAAGTAGTTTAAATACCTTACATAAAAGATAACCCTTTATGAAGTCGTCAAAAAACAAACGTTACGAAAGTTTTTCTTTTTTTATATGCACAATTCCCTTTCATAATAAAATAAAATAAAATAAATA